GATCTTTGTGACGTAGGAGTGCTGTGATGCTCTGTGGTGCTGGGATCCTTGTGTACACTGGGGTCTGGGTACCAGAATGTGCTTTGGGCAGAAGCTGAAGGTGAGAGCGGTACCACGGCCTGGTGCTCAGTCAGTGAGTGCTCAGATGCCTTGGAAAGGTGCCAGGGAGATGGGAGCTGCTTTAGAATAACTGGGGGCACAGTTGGGAGTCAAGCACCCCTGGTTCCTGTCCTTCATCAAGACAAGGGATGCAGGGAGCAGAGGGTCACAGTGCTTTCAGTCTTTCAGTAGATGAGAGCAAGGGGCATACTGTTGGGAAAGGGTACTTGGAGCAGAATCAGCCTCTCATGCTCACTGTGTGCCATTGAGCCATGTTCTTAACGTTGCTGAGATCTTGTAGCTGCCAGCAGAAGAGCAGGCAAAGCACAGGGGTTTATCTGCACAGCTTCCTTACAGAAGGAGAGAAATGCAGGTGTCTAGAATAAATTTGGAAACCAGGACATTTTGAAAGGAAGTGATTAAAAGTTTGAGTTCTTGACATTGTTTCTAAATCCAAAGGAAGTCCAGAAAACATTTTCAGATGTCCATATTCCCTTTTGAGGCTGAACTGAAAGAGCTAACTTCAAGGAAAAGTCAGCTGAGTGTGGCTGCTCTCGGGGTACAGAATGTGTCTCTCCCTTTGAGGAAAGGGCCTTGTTTTCCAGGTATGTGTGGCCAGTGCTGTCCTCTTAAGAGGCAATTGTGCTACCTTGTGAAAGCAGCTCCTGCTGACAGTGTTGTTTCCAGGTGAGGAGGCTGGGAAGAGCTTTTCCTCTGTGCCAGAGCACTGAAGCATGCTGAGCAACGTTTACTGGGCTGAGCTCTGTGCCTGCTCGCTGGAGGGGTTGCAGTGTTTCTGTGAAAAAAGAAACCATTCATAGATGGAGGGATTTCCTGGAGTCTGTTGTGCTGCTATATCTGGTTTGACTTCTTTCCAGGCATTCCCTTTAAATGAAGTGAGACTCGATTTCCATGGTAGTGTTGTGCTGGTCAGAATTGATAACTTCCCCCCCAAACTGCTAATTTTAGGGTATTTTTAAAGGTATAGAATAGACTTAAAGAATAGAAAAAGAATATGTCAATATAGAGAGAACTGATGGTGGCACCTGTAGACCCCCAACTTGAATTACTTCTGTAGATCTTTTTGAGTAGTATGTTTTCTAAGAATTTCAGAGATTTCTCCTGCATGTATTGCATTCTGTGCTTTGTAGGTCACCTGTTGGAGGTGACATTTTGGGGTCTTTTTGTGTACAGAGTGCCCAATTGTTCTGAAAAAGAAGTATGGTAAAAATGTATGTATTTGCTTTGAAATGTTAAATCAGTTGATTTTTTTTTTTTTCTCTAATGGTTCTGTGAATTATTTATATTTTAGTTTGGTGCATACCTACAGTCTAAAAAAAAATTGTATCTATATATATACACACACAAACCCCCCACACTGGTGAAAAATAAATGATGCATGTTGAAATATGGGCAGATGTAAGGGTCATGTGGCATGTTGTTGGAGTTTTCTAAAGAGCCTGAATATACCTTGCCATCATGTTGCCTTCAATCTGTAAATACCTTGAAGGCAAATACTTTGCTGGCTCAAGCAGAAGAAATACACTGTCTGCACTGTTCTTGTCTTTGTTGTAGCTAGAATTGCATTCTGCTGGGCTTTTGTAGCTATGATTTCCTGCTGTGAAGTCCTGGCTGCCTTCACAAAACACAGCAAGTGTGATGCTCTTGGTGAGCTGTCTTAGCAGAGTCTGGGGTTCATGTGATACCTTCCTTACCATAGGCAAGTAGAAGGTGGTGGCTGGTCTGGAGAGACAGGGAAACTCGTGGGAACAGGGTGGGAGCTGGTGGGCTTGAGTTGTAAGAAACTGGGTTTGTTCAGCTAGTCATGAGGAAGGGAAGGTATTGCTGGCTGCTGAGGAAGGGCTGTTGGCAGCAGTCTGCATCCCAGGGCTGAGTCTTGATGTGCAGAGGGTCAATTCAGAACCCAGGATAACATCTGAAAAGCAGTCTTTGAAGGCTGCCAGTAACTGCATTTGGAAGGCAAAGCTTGTGCAAAGAGGAAGGCTGGGACGTGAGGTTTCAGTTTGAGTGTTTGCTGTAGGCTTCCTGTATAAACACTTGCAGCCTCTGAATGCCTCCAGCTGCGTGTACAAGTGGGGATAGCGTGTCTGCTCCTTTAAGAGTGCTGCCAATGGCAATGAGTTATTCCCTGTAGGAAATTAATTGATCCCTGTATGAACAACGTCAAGACAGTGGCCACGCCAGAACAAACTGAAATAGCCAAACTCCACCTTTGAAAAGGCTCAGATGAAGCGGTCTTCTGCACTGAGCTGGCTGAGCGGAGGTTCGCAGGGGACAGGAGCTGCTGTCATCTCACTATATGCACTGCACACAGTAAAACTTGGTCATTCAGTGTGCAGTCATTTTCAGTGTGTCCCATTTTCACGATTATCAGAGAAACCCAAGAGGCAAACAGATGTGCTGGTGCACTTGCACATGCAGTGGCACAACAGACATGCCAGCGCAGACTGTTGCTGAGCTGTAGTGTAGGCTTCCTACTGCTCGTGTCATCCCCTCCTCTTCTGAGCTGTACTCACTTGCTGCAGTGGATGTGAAGTTGAGCATAGCTGCTCCTGGCTGCTTTCAGCTGCTTGCATTTGTGTATCAGCTCTTACTGAGCTCTCATCACAATTTAGGACTTGGTAATAGACTATGAGAGTCAAGGCCATTCATCTGCTTTGGCCATGGGCAGAGAACAAAAAGGGTATTTGTACAGTGAAATGGCACTGAATGTTCTACATCAGTGTTTTACTTTATGTTTATGGAGCAGAGGGCACAAAAATAACATAAATGGGAACAATAAGGTACATTAGCACACATCTAACTCCATTAGCTGCCTTTATTTGTAAGTATTTTTGTTGCTGTCTGTGCTGTAAAGGGGGGAAATTCTCCTGCCTCTCTACCCTTGTTTGAGGAAGGGAATGGGTAGTACTTTGTGGCTGGCTCTGCTGTATTGCTGTGGATGGGTGGAAAGCTCTGCATTTTGTTTGTCACCTGACAAGCTGGTTTATATTTAAATTAGGAGAGAAAGTGTGTGATTCTGAAAGCTGTGTTTTCACTAATGCTAAGGCTAGACCATGTGTGCTGAGTTCCCAGAATGAAGTTTTATTTGCTATTTGACTCAGTAGTTATTAGTCCTGCCATGTCAAACATGCATTCCTTGAAAGAAATGCACGCAAAGGAGAGATCTTGTGAAATCTGAGGAGACTTCCTCACTACTAGCCAGCACAGCAGGGCCTCTTTGGAGAGACAGGAAGTTTGGGAAATCCTGTCCCTTTTGTGTTACCATCTCCGTCTCAGCTGAACTTTGTCATGGCGTTGGGCAGGGCATCATCTTGTGATTGGCAAATGCCATCTGTATTTGAAACGCCATCCATAAAGCTGTGGTTTTGTTTCCAGCTGAGTTGTTGCTCTTGAGAACAGTGTGGAAAGCTCAAGCTAGTACACGAGGGAACATGACTATCCATTTCTACCTTCTTAGTACCCTGAGCAGTTAAACACAAAAGCCTTTGTTCCCTGGTGATTTCATTCTTAAGAGGCCTCTTTAATTTTAGTCCTTAGTTTCAAGAAGAAATAATGAGAATTTGTCATTGACAAGAAGGCTGCGTTTCTCAAATGTCATGTGAAGGATCCATTCCATAATTCATGTGCTGGGGAGTGTGGGTGTCAAAAGGAGGGTGTGTAATGGAGATGAGAAATTTCAGTTCAATGAAACTATTGGTATTAAAGTCAGCTTTACTTGCCTTCAGGACACTTTCTTGACCGAGATCACAGTGCTTTCTGCTAGTTCATCCAGGTATCCAGGTAATTTTAGATTTTTGTGAGATTGTGATGGGTTATTGTTTATTTTTGTACAGCTTATTCCTCTTCCAGTGTGGACAGGGACTTGCAGAGTGAAACCAGAGCAGTGCTGACCAATTTCTCATATTTGTCACTGCTGCACCTGAAAGCCATACTTTTGTGTGTGTGTGTAGAAGTGCTGCTGCTTCTTATCAGCCATGGGTTCTTTGAGTTGTGCTTGTATGATGGGATGCACATTGCTGTTGGTGTGCTGAGAAAGGGACCTTCTCCCTCCTTTCCTGTAGGACATGAGTAGGAGCAAATCTGACTTTGGCTGTGGGGGTCTGAATGCAGATGGGGCTATTGGCTTCCTAGTTGTTGGACAGTTGTAGCAGACAGAAGGGGACTGCCAGATCTCCCCAGGCTGGAGGGGTCACCTCCTTGTGGTCAGCCACTACCTCCCTGCTTTGTCTGTTTTCCTATCCTTGGTAGAGTAAATGAACTGTTAGACTCAGTCTGAAGTGAATTAAGGCGCCACTTCTATGATTTTTCGTCTTGCAGTCAAGCTGAAGGTGTTACGAGCTCTGACAGAGCTGTGCTAATAGCTGAGCAGCAGCAATGAAGTTAGCATTGGTGATGGCACTGCAAAAATAACCTCCAGCAGTGAAGGTGCAGCTTTTATTTCAGTGTTTCTTCTTTCAGTCTTTCTTGTAAAGTGTGCTGATGTGCAGCTGCAGGAAGCTCCTCTGTGCTGTCAGTGGTCAAACCTGTCTGCCTGGGAGCTGCATGGGGCGCACTGGTACTAGGGTAGGCTTGAGCTCTGTTTCAGGAGCCATTGCCTGTGAGTAAGGCAGGAGTAAGCAAATAAACGTTAGTTGTTGAATAATCAGTTTTCATTGGAGCTTCCTAGTACAGTTTACAAAAGCTGTGGGATTGAAAAATAAACAAACTTAATAAAAAATGAACTCAACTGATACAGAGCAGGAGCTTTTGATGCAACTGTGTCCATGTGTACGTCTGCAGGAAATGAGTCACATTCTTACAAAATCATCGGCTGAAGAATTTGTGACTTTTATGACAATTCCCATTTTGGACTAAGTCAGATCTCTTCTTCTCTCTAGGCTTTTCTCAGGCATCAGGAATGTCTTCTGAGCCCACTTCATCTGCCTCGCAGCAGTCTCCCACCTCTCCACCCTCAACCGGTTCTCTCCATCTGCCTGAAACCCGCAGGGCAAGAGACCGCTCCCCATCGCCCATGAGAGGGTACCTCATTCCCAGCCCGCTGCCCACCCGACGGACCAGAACCTTCTCAGCGTGAGTATGGGAAACCTGCACTTCACAAACACACACCAAGCGAGTACTGAGGTGAAGGGAGTCAGTGGGGTGGTGGTGGTGGGAGTGGTTCTGTCTGGAAGATGCTTTGGTATTTTCCTGTTCTCCAAGAAATCCTGGTGCTGCTAGACTTTTAGTCCAAATCGCCTGTAGTTTTTCAATGCTCTGTTTGTGTAGATGATGCTCAAGGTCTTTCCCACTCTTAAGGTCAGAGTTTTACAGGGAAGGGAAAATACACTGGGATTTTTCAAAGCAGGGTTTCTTGTCTGAAGCTTTGTTTTGCTTCAGTCACTGGGTTGTGGCTCTTGGGACCAGTTCCTGTTGGTGTTTCTTCATCAGCTCCATCTCGTGTTTTGACATGACCTCTCTTCTTACCGGACCTGACCTTGCTGGAGGTTTTAGTTCTTTCAGTCTTGACACCTGTGCTACTGTCAGCCAGGTTCCATTTTAGGGATGCTCCATGACCCTGTCACTTTTCAAAGGGCTTGTTTCCTTTTCCTATTCAGCTTTCATATCTCCATCTTAAGATTGCTCAAGTAGACCTGTAAAAGAATATGTTGGCTTTCAAGGTATGAACCCTGGTCTCTGAAATTATGAGTTTTTCTGTAAAATGAGGTTTGTTGCTATTTGTAGTTATTTGAGGTAGAGATCCTACAGCAAAGATGGCTTTCCTTGAGCTTTCCTGTGGCCCAGGTGGTGCTGTGCAGACTCCTGGGAGCCTCCTGCCCAAAGGGGACTCCTCCACAGCACAGCAGTAGAAGATAATGTTGCAAGGATTGGCCATTGCAGAAAAGTCTCAGTGCCTGTGATGGTCCTCCCAGTGAGGTGCTGACCCACAGAAGACAACGTGGGCTTCTTTCTTAATTTCAGTGGCCTTTGACTCAGGGTGTGAGAGTAGATTATGAAGCTGTCATCAGTCTGTTGCACAGTCTTGCAATTACTTCTGTGTAAGGGAGGCCTGAGTGAGACACTGTGGAAGTAAGATCTCAAACCCTCAGCTAGCTTATTTTGTGCCCCTTAATGTAGTTGGCCTGCTTTTTCCTTTTTGCTTCTTGCAGTGTTATCCAGATCTTTTCGTCAAGAGTTATCCTTGCAGATTTAAATAGCATCAATCTTGCTGATGCTTTGTATTATGGCTTCTGTATTCAAAATGAGGCAAAAAAGAACAGCAGCAGCAGAAGAAAAATGTACGTGTTGTCAGTTCCAGAAGCCTTCAAATGCCCTAAACTTTGTCATGGAAATACATTGCTAAAAGGAACATAACTGACTTGATAATTGGGATTGCCCTTGAAAAGCAGTTCCAAACTAGATTGCCTCAGTGCCATGTTAATAATGAACTCGTTGTAATTCTTCTTAGCTGTTAATCCTAGTCTGAGTCCTACAAAACTAAAGAATTGGTTATTTGACTTCCACAGTTCTTTAATCATTAATTCCTGTAGGAATCTTGCTGCATTTTGTTTGCTCTGAAAATCAAAATAACTATAATTTTACTTTTTTCTGTTGTTTTGTTTTTTAGTGTTCTCTTTTTATAAGAGGAGCTCTAAGTGAGCTCTGTCCCCAGAGTTGTATTGAAAAGATGAATGTGACAGGCAGTGGCTGCTTATTCAGTGGGATTATTTAATTTGGGTTCATTGCAAGTGTGGGGCCTTTTTCTCCACTGTACTTTATCTCCTTGAAAGCTGCAATTGAACTTTAATGGTTTATTTAGGGCAGTGAGTGCTTTTTCTGTGTAACAAGCACTTGTGGAGTCAGGTGCAGCTTTACAGAGACGGAAATGAAATGATTTAACGTAATGGAGACTTCTTCTTTCTTTAGCACTTTCAACTGTATTTCTTTAGTGCTAGTTTGACTTAAGGCACAGAGCTGTTGCCACATTTTTTAATGATTTTATTTAGACTTCAGTAAACTTTAAACATTTGGGAAGCGATGTCAAAATTGCCACGATGCATGTAACCACAATCACTTACTGAGTTTGAAGAATCCCACTGAAGTCCTCTTATAACCTGCTGGATAGTCATGGCATAAGGAGGTCTTGATCTATTAATTCCTTTGTGTAAACCCTATAAGAAGCCTAAAACAGTTGGCTTTATTAATGAAAGTATTTAAGATTGCATCTCTGAGATACAACTCAGCATATTTGATGGGGAGAAGTATTTAATCACACAGTTTTCAGGATGGGTCATGCAAGTTGTTTTTCTTGATTGGTAGCAAGTCATTTTAAAAGACAGGTCCCATGACACTGGAGAAGATCAATCTTGATCTTGATGTTTTGCATACCAGCTATGCTTTATAGCCTGATGGAGTCATTTGGAGGTGAAATGCTGACTTCACTGAATCCTAGTCTGGCAGGGTAACAATACACATGTATGCGGAAGGGGTGTGTGTATGTGTTTATACATGACATGTGTACACATTATGCACTGCATCCTCTCTATACTAAGTGCATACCGATACTCCTAAACTCACGAAAGGCGTATTAGCATAGTGTCCAGAGGAAAATTTGGCAGGGTGATAGAGCAGATGGATTCAAGATGGCAGCTGATGGATTATAATGCTAGTGAACATCATCTTTATCTCCCTTAAAAAAGCTACAGGCAAAACATGGGCAATGTATGAAACTGAATCATAAGCAGTTGCTACAGAGGAGCGTACCCCCAGAGAGTATTTGGACCATTGTGCCCAATTGCTTAGCAGGTTCTGGCTTACACCCCCAGAACATGTCGCATCCATGCTCAGCAATGAACCACTCTTTTTGTGCTTTCTTCTGCAGAACCGTGAGAGCATCGGAGGGTCCTATCTACAAAGGTGTCTGTAAATGCTTCTGTCGCTCCAAAGGCCATGGATTTATTACCCCTGCAGATGGAGGGCCTGACATCTTTGTACACATCTCTGAGTAAGCTGTCTGGGTGGCTGAAAAGGCTGGAGCTTTGGTTTGCTTCAATTACTGAATGCTTTTGGTGTTTCAGATACAAGAATGGTTTATAACCTGTCACCTTTGCCTCAGCAAAGAGGAGTTACGCAGATGTTACTGGCAGCGATAGATTATGCTGTTCTTTTCCTGTATTACTGTAAATCTGTTGAGTTAACAACTGGAAGATGAGCCTGTCAGGTCTCTTGGAATAAGCTGTGTAGGTTCACCCAGGCCCAGAAACTTGCATTTACCTAAAGCAAATAATCTATGCAGTATCCAGTTTTAATTTAAAGATTTATAACACTGAAAATTCACTACTTCTACTTTGCACTGCTTGTACTGTTATTAAACTGAAGGTTAATTGCCTTAGCTTTTAAGAAGAGTCATACTTTATTACTTCCTTGAATTTATCTAGTTTCAGTTTTGAGCAGTTTACTTTCTCTGTTAAAGGGTTCATTAGAACCTCCACTGTTTTGCCTTGAGCACACTGAGAGCCATCACCTCTGAATCTACCTTTTGATAAGCTAAACAGATGAAGCTTTTCAAGTCCCTCACTGAGAACTCCTTTTTTCCAGTCTGAAACACCTTCCAGTCTCTTTTCTCAGTGTGCTGTAGAACTTTAATATAATTTTAAACCAATACATTGTACACATACTTCCGGTGTAGGGAGATGAAATCTCCTCCAGACTCCTGCTCTGTTTCTCTTTTTGTCCCATAATCACATTAGCCCTCTTGTCCCTAGTCTTTTGCTGAGTTGTTTATCAGTTCTGACCTTGGCATCCTTTTCAGTGTCAGAGTTTCGTGCATCCCCAGATACGGGCTGGCACCCCCAGCAGCTGTGTTTGCACACAAAAACAACACAAGGAGTTGTGTTTCCTTGTTCTTAGATGTTCAAGTCCCTGTTTAGTTGTACTGCAGCAGCTCTCACTGAAACAGGCTGTGCTGGACCAAGGGGTCCAGATCATGCACTGCGCCTGCACTATCTGTTATTTAATGCTTGTCTGGTCTACAGGGTTTAGTAGGCAAATCTCTATTTGTTTCTAGATTGAGATGTTGACCAGCACTGCGGTTGAAACTGGCCTTTGAGGGCATGTAGTAAGATTGCTCAATGTTTATTCTCCAATAACCTCTCTTAGATCTATGGCCAGTTTTTAGTCTATCTATTGTTTACAGTGTTGAAGCTGTATAATCCTTATTTGTTGTTTGGAGTGGTTATCCAGTGATAAGTCAACAAAAGCCTTACCAAAGTTGTTCACATTACCCCAGCTATCTTTCCTGCTTGTGTGTGTAGCATGTGGCCTTGGAGGAGCACACTGGCCTTCTTCCAGCTTTCTAAAACATTGCTGCACGATGGGCTCTGGCAAGCCAAAGATTTTTAGGACTCATAGGTGCAAATGGGCTCAGTAGTCCTACTCATGTGTTCAACCCAAGGAAATGTTATTCAGTATCTTCTTTTTCTTGCATCTAATACAAATGCAGAACTTCTGATTTCCTGACTAACTTAAAAGTAACATTTCTTATGCCACAATTAAAAATTTAACTGTGAACACCTAGTCTGACCTATACAGTTACTGATCAGCAGGGGCTTAGTTAAAACAGACCTCTCATGGAAACATGAATTTTCAGCCTTCTAATGAATTCTTTTTAAAGAACTGTCTATTTTCAGTCCTGTTCCCCCCCCCCCATTTTCTCTTCCAATTATTTGGGTAAAATTCTCTTCAGTCATGTGAAATTAGCCCTTTTAAAACCTTAGAGATTGGTTCACATTTTGTATAGACAAACAAAGGGGCATGCCCAATTACTCAGGTGTTTTCCAGTTCCTGTCCTGTGGCCCAATACATCTTTCTCTCTGGGCCCAAACCCTGGTACTTGATTCTGAATATACTAACTGCTTCTATCCTCAATCCCCCTCCAACCAGCTAGAACTCTTAGTGAATCACACTCCAGTGATCTTTGGCTATATAAGACTCCCGTTGTCTCCTATGGTAATACCCTGTATGACATTAGGAAAATGATTTTTTTTTTTTTTTTTTGGTCTGCTGTGATTTTTGGTGGTCTAAGAGACCCCCTTTCACAGGAGTCCCCTCTTGTGGGCTGTGCTAGTTGGTGTATCGATCTTGAGCTTTCAAAAGGCTTTGACTGTGAGCCATCAGTAGGCTAGATTTGAGTAATTGTGCCCTGAGTGTGGTGTGCTGCTGTTCCCTTTTCTTTCACTCGCCCCATCTATCTATCCCAGGACACTATTGAATGAGTCACCAAGGTTGTAAAAGTTCCTGGGCAACCACACTTGAGTTTTGTTTTTTTTTTCTTGATGTATTTTCAGCATGTTTATTTTGCTGAATCACATCAAGTTCTCTGCTTGCTCTCACCCTCTCCCCCCTGTGCCCTCAGGCTGCCCCTGCATGGGAAGGCTGGAGCAGATAAAGGATGAGGGGGAGAGTTGCTGCATGAGCAGGAGGTGATGGGCTCTGGCCCGCACAGGTACAACCTGTGGTACAATGAGGTGGCTTCATTTCAACCTAATGCTCACACCGGTGGGGAGCTGTTTCCATACACCATGCCGCAGTGCTCCCAGGCTTTCTCCAGTACAGCAGATCTCACAAGTTAACTGTAGATGAGAAGATTGGAGGGGACTTCTTCTACCCCATCTGCTGCTGGAATGCAACCATGCCTTTGGCAGATGCTTTATCCAGCCCACTCTTAACAGTTTGAGTTCTTGGTATCCACTGCCTCCCTGGGCAATCTCTTCCTGTCATCATCTTAGTTGTTTCTGATGTTTAACTGACATCTCCCCTTGCTTTCAGTATGGCACTTCACTACTTCTGTCTCTGCAGTTGGTGAAGGATGCCTTTCTTCTTTAAACCTATCATTTATGCATTCAAAGACCGTTTTTCTTGCTCTTTCAGAAACATTTTGGTGAGGTTAGTTCATATGAATTTTGTTCATATGGACTCAAGGATGTGCTTTATGCAACTCTGTAGGCACAGTTCTGCCCTTCTGAAGCCAATAGGACTTCTTTTCTACTGAACCAGGGCTGAGCCACTTCTTAAAATTTCTTATTCAGGTATCATCTCAGAACTCAAATTCAAAAATAGCTGATGTTTGTGCCTCAACCTGTTAGTAAAAGGTGTTATTATTGAAGTACTGAAGGTTTCAGAACATTGTGTTCTTTAATTACTCTGATTGTATTGGAATTGTTGGAAACAGCTTTTAGTGCTAGTGGGTAATGGTATTACTGTCTTAATTCTGATGCAAGGCAGCACTGGAAAAATGACTTAATAATGCCTTCCATTTCAGTTTATTTCAGAGTGAATTAGAAACATTGCTCTTTATTAATGGGAGTTGCTTATTGCAGCAGCATTCTGTAACCATCACTGTGGCTCTGAGGACTTTAATGCCTCTGGTTTTCACAGTGTGAGTTTTGAGATACTGCGTATGTTTATCACATAATTCTTTTCTGCCTATATTACTCAGTTAAACCTGGATGTGAGACAGACATCAATCTGTTCTCTCTCTGTGTGGTGTAGGCATCTACTTGAGAGGTGAAAGAGGGTTGTTTCTCCTAAATCAGTTCTTCCTGAAAGCTAGGATTTCAGGAACATGGATAAAATGGTTTGCCGGTTTGGATTCAGCAAGTTGCTCTGTGTTCAGCACTAAGCTGTGATGATTAGTGAAGGTTTTGAGCATCGGGACCAGGTGCAGATTATCTTGTGGGACCTATTTTGCAGATTAATATGATTTTAAACATAAAATTTTATGTTTATATTTTTCTTCCCTGTGCTTTGGGGGAGATGTAAGGTTACTCTTCAATGAAAATATCTTCCATAAAATGGGATGTTTTTTTCCTGTAAGTTTGCATTTAGTTTTGTAAGATAATAAAACTTAGAATGGCATTTCCATTTCTGTAAGTGAGCAGTGGTCTAAAAATAAGGTCAAACTTGTGTCATTCAAAAGCTTCTTCACTTGGCATCCACAGAACTTTCAATTTCAGTACCTGTGCAAGACTTTAAGCTGGATGTGGATACATAGGCTTGTGGAACCTGCAGCAAAACTGCATTACTTTGAAGCGGATATATAAGCATAAGAAATGCCAGCTGGGAATGCAGGTTTTAAACGTGTGTTTTGTCTCTGTGGCTGTGTCTGTTTTACTGAGTGGTGTGATCTGGTGGACAGATAAGAGCCAGCTCCTGCGTTCTGGCCTGGAGATGCGCAGCCTGGCACCAGGCGTGGGCTCACTGCTGCTCCCGGCATTGCACACACAGTGAGTCCTGGTCCCTTGTGTTGACTGGAAACAGTTCTCAAGTTGATATTAACAACTGTACTAGGAAAATGTCACAGCTTGAGTGTGGTGAGATTTTGTTGTTCTGTTTCATCTTTCACCCTTTTCCAGAGCAGAAAATGTAACGTTCTTGCTAATAGTGATGTAAAAGAAAGCAAGGGGATGGAGGTGTTGCTGGGATGGTGATTCCCAATAATGTCTCTGGAATGCTGGAAGCAAAGGCAAATTCATGTGCCTGGAGTGAAAATTTTAAAAAGCCCTTTATGACACTCTTAGCAGTGACATGAGCTGTTAATGTTTTCATTTCTAGCAGTCTGTGTTGCGAGCCACTGTCACCTAACTGATGGCGTTATTGTAGCATCAGTGCTGAGAACTGTATCCTCCTGGATATCTGACCTCCTCACCTCCTCTGCTACCATTCCATAGTGGGACTGAGTCAGCTCTTGCAAATAGAAGCCAGGTTGGTTGTTGCTGAAACTGATTGCTCTGGAGGCTTCAGTTTCACTCTCTTGCCACTCTTCCTGTGGACGTGGGATATTTCCAGAGAGCAGACCGATAACCCCTGCAGTGCTTGCTGTGGAGGCCCTGTCTTGTGCTGCCTGTACAGGCTCGTATCAGCTGCCTTCCAGGCAGGGTCCTGAGGGCACAGGCTGAGGTGGGTGAGTTGAGGTGGGGTGCGGGTGCCTGTAGGGCTGATCAAATG